TTAAAAGATTTAATCTGATCCAACGCTTGGTACATGTATACACACGTCATGATCGGATCATTTCATTTAGTGTCCATGTAAACGGAGATTTTGAATTTCTGATCAGGCAAGGTTTGGATCGGATCGGGGAAATTTTGCGCATGTAAACGTAGCTAATGTGATCAATACATGTATTTTAGACGTTTGGCACATCTCTATAATTATGCTAAATTAACACATTAGTTATATTGTGATGGATTTGTATAATATGTTATATTACACGATTTAAAGACTTCATAATGACTATGCAAAATGATGTGCCTATATATTTATTCTAAGTTAAAGTTAATGTACTGATGCTATGAAACAGCCAGTGTGTGTCAAAGTGATGAATTTTCTCCCCCTGAAAATGAGATCATCATCGTTGTTCGATGCTGTAGCGCACATATTGTTTACATTAAGACCGGTTTAACTAGGGAGTACCAATATGGCGGCCGGTGGCTTCACTTTAACCCTGTACTACCAGCGGGCAATCCAGTGAATACAATAGAGATCAGTGGTCGAGCCCATAGAGCTAAACACCGTATCGGTGTGCAAGGAAGTCATGTGACCGATACAGGAGCTTTTTCTAACTGACTGATTCACTAAACTGTGTTTTAAAATGTTTCTGTCGAGATGATGCTAAAAAAAAATAATTTGGGAAAAGCCTAAAAGGAATAGGAACGTTTCAGCTATTTTTCTTTTAAATTTCTCGTTGTGTCATCCTTTTCCTCTCAGTTATCACTCAATTTATTTCAAATAAAGTTTCAAAAAAAAAAAATTCAAATAGACTCTTAGTTTATTTACTGTCTTTACTGCACTTATTGTTTTAAAATTCTGACTTAAAATCCTAGTCCACAAGCATCCTCAGTCACATTTTCCCTAAATATTCAAGTGATGTTTACTAAAAATATCAGAGATAGTTTTAATTTAAACATAGATATAAAATAATACAATATAACCTACAATAACTTAAATCATTTTAGTAGGTCATCCAATCAATTCA